TCTCTAGGACTAGTGGCGACCGCCCCCCTCCCTGAAGAAGCAGGGAGGGCTCAGGGGGCTTCATGTCCCACTGCAGGGTACCTGCCAGGCCAATCATGGGAGTCTGTCTTGAGCTGAAACCCAGAGACTTCCTCAGAATGAATGGGCCACCTGTGGCTAAACTCCACCTGCAGGATTGAGAACAGAGTTAAGAGCCCCCAGACTTCAAGTATTTCCCCATGAAGTCCCCTTCAGAGCAACAGCACCAGGGGTCTGTGCGGGAGCTGAGGAGTCTAGCCAAACATTTACAGCCCCAAAGGGATGGAGGATGAGCAGCTGCGGTGAGGGCTCTCCCTCAGGGCCCCAGAGTCTCACTGCAGCTTACTGGTCACTGTGGTCCCAGCAGGAAGGAGAAAGCAAGAGCTGGAATGTGGTTTCCATGGGAAACTTGTTTTAACTTCCTAACACTAACTCAGTTGGCAGTATTTATAGGAGCACTGTCTGGGACAAGATCCCGCAATATCTAAGTGAGCCATGCAGAGGGAATGTGTGGTGGTGAAACTGGCATGTGTAGGTAAAGGCAGGCTGAGTGGGGAAGAGAGAGGACCCTCAAGCTGGCGCAGCAGCAGCCGCCTCCCCTGGCGCAGCCAGCGTCCTATTTCCTGGGCGAACAATAAGCACCACTGTTGAAACACCGGAGCTTGCCCGCTGTCTACCTCCAGGACCCAGGGCCAGTGCAGGCACTCTGCAGGAGGAGGCTGGGCTGCTGACTCAGCTGTTTCTCAGGGTGCTGCAGAAATCCAATCAGGGTAATTGGCTCTGAGAGTGGGCGGCTGCCCTGTGCATCCACCTTAGAGACTGCAGCCGGGACATACCATTTCTGTGAACAGATCTAAGGACACAGATTAGAATGAAAAATTTTGGATGCTGTAATGTGAACATAGCTGCTCTAGGTTTTGTAAATGACAGAAGCTGCAACTGGTCAGTTTCATGAGTAATATTAGATCTTTTCTTCTCTGAAATTCTCAATCCATTACACTGATAAGAATATTATTTCCCCATGTAAAATTCTGTATGGAAAACGTATTTATTGTGACACATTTATTATAATAATCTCAAAAAGTACAGAAAGGGTAGTAAAAATCACCCAAATCTCATTCCCAGAATCACAGTCGATGTCTGACAGTCAATGTTTTGGTGAACCTCTTTATGCATGAATGCTCAAACAAGTCACAGCTACAGCGGCAACCACTGGGCATTCTATAGAACTATTCTGTTACTTGCTTTCTTAATGCAACTATATGTAACATACTTATTCCATGTCAATAAACATTGGTCCATATCATGATTTCCAATGGATTCATACTATCTCATTGAATTAAGCACAAGAAAAAGAAACCTATTTAATCAGGCCTGTATTTCTGTATCATTTGTCTACCATAAGCGGTCCTTTTATGACACCTTTGTGCATAATTTTCACACTTGACAACCAACTCCTTAGGATAAATTTCCAATAAGATACTAAGATGCTCCCTCCACTCCTGGATGCACGACTGACCCCCAGCCCAGGCACCCAGAGCCGCTTCTTACACTGCTTTCCCCATGAGGCCTGACGTCAGCTCATCGCGGAAATGCAACACCTGCCTTTTATACACACGACCACTGGCCTTTGTGTTTCCTCTTTCATAAACTATCTTTATGCCCTTTCCCATTTCCTTCTAAGGCAGCTGTCTTTTTAAGGCTGATTAATATAGGTTATGAGCTATATTTTGGTATATTAGAAATTTTTTTATTTTAGTTGTCAACAATTTCTCCAGTTTGTATGTGGCTTTTCTGTTTTGAAGAAAAAATAACTTCTAAAGTATTAGGGGGGAAAAAGAATGATAAAATAATTCTGCCAAACAAAGGAGACACAGGAGCATGGAACAGATGGCGGCTTGAAACTGAAGCAGGTCAGCAATTACACTAGACAGAAATGGACTAAAATCTCAAGGTAAGAGATAAATAATTTTAAACTGGGTACCACATATTCAGCTGTATTTTCACAGGAGATGCAACAGAAACAAAGTCTACATTAAGATACAGGTGAAAGGACTCAACAAACATAGCAAGCAAAGGTAACCAGACCAAGCCAGCAGAGCCCAGTTAAATGGTGGCCAAACAGACTTGAAAGCAAGTTGTTAAAAAGATTCAATTCAGTGAAAAGATAAAGCGATTTTAAGATGAAAGACACTATCAGCAAAGCCGCAAAGGTAGTTCTTTAAAGAGACACAAAGAAGAGGGCAGGAACTCTGGGAGGGGCCCTGGGAGCCCGCAGCGGGAGATCTGGACAAGGGTCGGCCCGCACTGAAACCCGACGAACTCACATTCTGAGCAGGCTCAAGATGTTTCTAGAAACGCACGTGGTGGACCATGGAGCAAGTCTCCACAGACTGCCCACAAATGAACTCCTCTGAGGATGTTCTCAGACCACAACACAAATCAGCATAACAGTGTAAACCCCAGACACTTTGTTCTAATAAACATACTTTTGTAAGACATTTAAAACTGAATGGTAATGAAAAAAACAACCTACAAAATTTGGGGAAACACAGCTGAAACAGAGATTAGAGAGAAATTTACAGTACAAAATACACATGAAAAGAAGAAAAGCTGGGAATGAAACAATCAACCCACCTCAGAAAGTTATAAACAGAACAGTAAAATAAACAGCAAGAATGTACAAACTGAAAATAATGAGCAGAAAATAAGTAGAAACCAAAAATACAACAGAGTGGATCGCCAAGCTGCACGTCGCTTAGAAATACAATGTTACTGACAACGTCTAGTGAGACTTGGGAAAAAACAAAGGCAGGTACCAACATTAGAAAAGAGGGTATCACTGTGAATCTGAGACACTGAAAAATCTTGAAAATACTTGAGCTACATCTCCATGCCAGTAACTCTGGCAAGAGAGTCCAAGTTTTAGAAAAAATACAATCTACAACACTGGCTCAAGAAGAAACCTGAATGTCCTGTAACTACTAAAGGAGACTCCATCTTAGATGCCCACTTTCCCACAACAAACCCACGCCCAGAAGACTTTCCTGCGAGTTCCACTGGGCAAGAAACAGGAATCCCAATCCTACACCTTCTCTTCCAGAGAACAGAAAATGTGGGCAGTTTCCCAACCCAAAGTGAGCAAAGCCCTGACATGAAGATAAAAGGACAGTGTTAAAAGGGGAATTAAAAGCAAGGCTTGCTCCTACACTCAGGTCCACCTTGGAATGTGCGGGTCTGACTCACGCACTCACCACATCAACATGTGTTAAGACAAGCAGCAAGGTAGCCCAACAGATGAAGGACAAGCAAGTGGCACATCAGAGATGGGGGGTGGCGGACGGGGGGATGCATCTGTAGCCCAGGGTGGAGCTTTAGGGCCTCATCTCCACCAGTGGCTCCCCCAGGGGCTGGCCTCGCTCCTGGCTCTGAGTCCTCGCTCCTCCCTTCTCTCCCCCTTTCTTCCCCTGGCCCCACCCCTTCACTTCTCCCCATCCCTGGTTATTCTGCATCCACATTTTCAACTTCCTGGCCTGGTGCTGTTCCCTCTCTGGGCCCTTATGGGAACAACTCACAGATGTCTCCACAGTTATTTCGAATCCGGGTGGCATCAATTTACTCCATCACATCTGTCTCCATTTTGTTTTCATGCCACTCCAAGAGGGAGCTTCAGCCTCCTTCCACCTCCACCCACCCAACCCAGAGACCTCCTGGATCCCTGCATCCCCTTCTTCCCTCTCCCCACCTCCCAGACCTCCCAACTCAGCACGGAGGGCAACATGATCGGACCGTCCCTGCAGCCCGGGAGCGCGGCCTCACGTGCATGTCTGGGTAGCGTGCCACTGGAATGAACTGGTTCCACTACTAGCCGCTCCTGCCTCAGCCTCCCTCCCCACACCGAGGGCTGTGATCAGGTCTGCTGGGTAAGGCCTTCTCCTCAAGGTATTTTCCCCAGTGGGGTCCAGGATGACGACCTCTGAACTCTCCCACATCCAAGAATGTCTTCCTCTCAGGATAAGGAATTTAACTTTGGTTATACATGGGATTCCTGAAGATTGTGGACAATGTTTCACTCTTCCAGCCTCCAGCATCGAAGACAAAGAGCTGGATGCCTGATCGCTGATCACTTTTCCACTGTAATTTGTTTTCATCCATAAGCTTAAAAGGTTTTCTTTTCTCTAGACTCTAAAGTTTACAGCTTAATTATTTTCTTAAACCAGAATATGCCTAGTTGTCTTTTCTCACCAATTCTGCTAGGAACTTGGTGAGCCCTGCGATCTGTGGGTTTTCTTTGACTTGGGAAATGTGTTTCTGCTGTTTCTGCCTCACCTTCCCTCTCACCTTCCCTCTGCTCTGGTATTTCCTCCTCTGGAATTCCTGTCACTCACAGGCCAGACTCTTGGACCATTCTAACAAGCCTCCTTTCTCTTCCCTCAAAATCTACTTTTACTTTTGTGTTACACTACATTATAATCCTTACTCTTTTAAAAACATAGACTGTCCTTAATGTAGCCAGTAGGTGACTTTCAATACCTTCAAACCAGTGCTTAAATTCTTGGGTTTTAAGATCTGACATTTCAACATAGGGACTAGGATGAGGCAGAGACCAGCTCTGCAGGCCGGCCACAGGAGAGAGACTGACGTTCCCATAGGACCAGCTGAGGCCTGGGCGCCCTCTTCACTGTGCAACTCAAGAGCCACCTTGGCTCTCGGAAGCCCAGCTGCGTCTGCAAAACAAGAGGCACTTCTTCTCCCTCCCTGCCCGCCCCGCCATTCTTACAGCCCACGTGGCCCCAGGGATAAGAGGAGACACACAGAAGCAGCCGGTAAGGCAGGCGGTGGCCAGCAGGAGGCAGCTCAGGCTCACTCTGGAGCGGGCACTGCTTCCACTCGCATGTCTACCCATGTCCATGTGGATGTTCACTTCCAAAGCCCAGCCGATAAAAGAAACAAACTTACAAATTGTCAGCCTTGACAGCAACACCCTTTATTCGGCACCGGGAATACCCTTCGCACAGAACCAGCGAGCTTCACGCGCTCATCTTCCCCGTGGAAATGTTCACAGGACGCTGCGGGGCCCCCAGCGTGCCACGTGCTCTAGTGGGGGTGCTGTCGGAACTGGAGCCCACAGTAACCACATGTGCCAGTTTTTGTTTCTTTGTCCTGAAAACATTCAAAAGGAATGATGTCGTATTTCCATATTCTACTTCAAATCTAGATATTAAACATTGAAAATGTATGTATAAAACTTGAAACAGACTGTCAGAAACACATAAAAATACTCAGTTACTACTGAAGTAAGAATGCAGACTATCAGTCTCGGTTCCAGCCTGACCAAAGCCCCTGGCCTCAGGCTCCAACCCCGGGTTACGCCGCCATCCCATAGGACCCCCCAGGGACATCACTGTGGGCCTGCAGCTCCATTCACTCCCCACACCTCAGCTGCCTGGAGCAGGGGGTGGGTGCTGCACAGGACCATGAGGCACACCCAAGCTCCGCCCGCAGGGCTGGAGCCCAGGAGGGGACATGCTGGCTGCCCAGTCCCACTCTAGGCGGCTTAACCACTGATGCCTGTTACACTGTCCCGTTTTCAGGACAGGCAACAAGACAGTGACAGCTTTTAATAAATGTCAGCTCTAACGAAGCTAAAGTCCCATGACCAGGACTCTGTTTTGGTGAGAACACCAAGCCCAGCAGCTGCCTGAGTCCCTGAGTGCTTCACGGTCAGTGGCCTCCCTCCCTCCCTCCCTGAACCCCAGGTCAGAAGCTGCCTGAGTCCCTGAGTGCTCTGCAGCGGCCTCCCTCCCTCCCTGCACCCCAGGTCCACATCCCAGCTTCAGCCCGTGGCCTCTTTCTCTGGTCGTGTTCTTTTTTTCTCAATGGTCCTGTATATGACACTCATCGACGGGCATAGAAGATTACACAGGGACTGTTACAAAATAAACCATGTGCCCCGTAAAGTCCTAACCCCCAACGTGACTGTGTTTGGAAATGGAGCCTTTAAAGAGGTGATGAAGGTGAACGGAGGCCACACAGGGGCCCTGAGCCAATCCGCCTGGTGTCCTTACAAGAGGAGATGAGGAGTCACCCACGGAGGGACAGCCCTGTGAAGACACAGGGAGGAGACCTCATCTGCAAGCTGAAGAGCAAGGCCCCAGGAGGAACCAGCACAGGCACCACGGTCTTGGGCTGCGGCCTCCAGTGTGTGGGAAATGCGTTTCTGCTGTCTACAGCCCCAGCCTGCGGTGCTGTATGTGGCAGCCTGAGCTAAGATGATGACCAAACCAAGAAGGGCCTAGAGAGGAAAGACGCCTGAGTGCTCGAGAAAAGGAAGGCGGACATCAAGGCTGATCCAACTAAACACGCCGCCCACCACTTCCCAGTTGAAAGGGGGTTTGCGGACACGCGCCTGTATGTAGGCCCTGTAGTGTGGTGCTGTAGGGTGAATGTGTCAGCCGTGTGAACCCCGTCAGGGCCGCCTCAGGAGCAGGTACAGAAGAGGGCAGAAAGAACAGGCACTGGGAGTGCAGGGGAGAATGAGGACGGGCAGGCCGCCCTACCATGCGCGCGGTGGCTGGCTACGCACCAAGTTTATATACACTTTCGGGTGGCCAAGAGCTCCCCCGCCGCCGTCGCACGCTATCACCCGTGTCTGCACCTCGCTCACGGGCTGCTCTGCTATCAAATCAATGGCAAAGTTTTCATTCACCTGGAACAAGAAGAAACACTTACATAAACAAATACGCAAACTTGCTAACTTCATACAATTTAACCCACCACATGCAAATTCATGTACCATCAGCATGGATCTATGGTGCATGCTTCATTTAACTATTATCATCGCAGACCTTCCTGACTCACAATTGTTAAATTTAGGGCCACACACACATTTGCTTTTCATTGGAATACAGTCCAAACTCAGAGAAGCGCTGCAAGAATCAGAGCAGCGCAGAGGCTTTCCCTTCTGTCCCCGTGGACTCAGCAAACGCTGACACCTGCCCCGTGGGCTCTGCCGTGCCCTCTTCTCCCCACCACACCGTCCTGTCCCACCTGAGGGCATCTGTACCACTCTGGCCTGTCCCTCACAGGCCCCCATGTGCGTTTCATAAGAACATTCTCTCACAGAACCTCTATGCAGTTATCCACCTCCGTAAACGTGATACTGATGGGACAGATTTATCTAAAATGCCAAAAATGCCACTAGTGCTGCAATCCATTCAACGAACAATGTCCTTCCGGCTTTCCCCTTGGGCCACAGAGGTCCCGAAAGCTGGTTAGGTCGCTCCTAAGTGTTTTGTTCGCCGTCCACTGGGTCTCCTCATCCACTGTGTCCTCCACCTGGTCATTCATGACTCACGGACGTGTGCGGGAAAGACCGGTAATTTCACGTCCTGCTTGTGTGCTGATGCTCTGAGTTACAATCAAAATGGAATGAAAAAGATGTCTCCATATCACGATGGGGTGAACGACACAGGACTACGTGGAGATGCCAGGCAGTGGGTAAGTGGACAGAAGGCTTCCACTGATCCATGTGGGGAAGACCAGGGGTCCGCCTACATATTCACTTATTTACACAAAATCCAAAGGAGAAAGCGTTGAATAGTTACTACTGTGAGGTGGAAAGGAAGGAGGACGCAAGCATGATCGTTAGACTTTCTTCTGAGTTTTATAAATCTGACTCTGAGACTATATTTTACATTTTTCAAAGTTATAAAATTACACTTTTAAAATGACAAAAAGGAGACAAATGGACCTAAGGAATTCCCAGAAACTTTAAAGAGAGAGTAGCAGGAACATTTCTAACACGACACACCTAAGAATAAAACCGCTTGCAAAGCAAATAAAATTATTATTGAAAACTCAGGATTTTCAGTGTGGGGAGGGACTAGAGAGGTCAGCTCACTGGCTCGACAGAAGTCTTGGAACCCTGAACTGAGTTTGGAAGGATCAGTGTGACTCATTCTGTGTCTGATGTTCACACACACCCTTTCTTTTCTTTTTTTGAGACACAGTCTCACTCTGTCGCCCAGGCTGGAATGCAGTGGCGCGATTTTTGCTCACTGCAATCTCCCCATCTTGAGTTCAATCAGTTCTTTGCCTCAGCCTCCCAAGTAGCTGGGATTACAGGTGCCCGCCACTACACCCGGATAATTTTTGTATTTTTAGTAGAGATGGGGTTTCATCATGTTGGTCAGGCTGGTCTCAAACTCCTGATCTTAGGTGATCTGCCCGCCTCGGCCTCCCAAAGTGCTGGGATTTCAGGCCTCAGTGAGCCACTGCGCCCGGTCTACACACACCCTTTCAAGCTCCATCCCCAGGACCATGATTAACACAGTGGTAATGAGCACCCCTACTGCCCACACGGTGGTCTCTAAACATCATTTCACCCCAAAGGGAAGGGACTGGATTCTTTCAAAAATGACTGATTCTGGGTCCAGGGCAGGAACTGTTATGGGATGAACTTCAGACACTGTATTGTGGCACAAGTCAGGGAAGCTTTTAAGGCAACTAAGGTTGTGTCAAAAGAGGAGTCAATCAGGGGAAACTTGCCACATGGGATAATCTGGGGTACAGGAAATTGAGGGACAAGGGGAATATAACTGCAAAAGGCTGAAACACCAATTTTTACACCCATGATTTCATAAACATATTTTAAAAACTCATTAATTACCTTACTAGGTACTATGGTTTGAATGTGTTCCCCCAAAGTTCCTGTGTTGGAAACTGAATCGTCAGTGCAACAGTGTTGAGAGACGGGGCGGGGCCTTCAGAGGTGCTGAGGTCACAAGGGTTCTGCCTCATGAGGGATTCCAGCTTCCCTCACAGGTGGTGGGCGGGCTCCTGGTAGAAGGAGGAGTTCAGTCCCCTCCATGCACACTCTCCAGCCCTTCCAGCTTCCACCCTCACCAGATACAGCCCTCAACCTTGGATTTCCCAGCCTCCAGGCTGTAAGAAATAAATCTCTGTTCCTTATAAATTATCCAGTCTCAGGTACTCTGTTATAGCAACACAAAACAAACAGAAACTAGAGAATCAACCCATTAAAGACTGGTAAATAAAGGGAAAGAATCAAGTATTTCTTCTGATTTTCCAACAGAAACTTTACCTCAGCACCAAGGTTTCTTTCGATATAAGTATTCCACCTAATAAGATGGATAATATCATCATTTTTCGACCCCTTATGAAATCATAGATGTAGGAGATAATGATCACAGTCTCTTACTACAACCGGAACCTATTATGTGCCTCCTGATGGAAGGACACATCACCTATGCAGCAGTCTCACCAGGAACAAAACACTGACCCTCAATCTGATCAAGGTTCGAGACCCAACTAATTTCCAAAACATGCAGAGACAAGAGACATGTTCAACAACACTACAGTGACGCGGTCAGTAGAATCCAGCTGAGGATGACTCTACAGAGGAAATGACCTGGGTTCTCGAACAAATAAATTTTTCCAATGAGAAAAGGAGACAGAGTGGGAGATCGATGGGAACCTACAGATTAAAAGACACATAACAGACACCAACAGCTGCATGTAAGAACTCACTTGGGCTCAGAGTCACACTGTAACATTTTCAAAACCATGCAGGATCAAGAACATTTAACACCACTTAGATATTTAACTTAAAGTAATTATAATTTTTAAGGTGTGATAATATTGTTGTCATGTTCATATATTTTGTTATTTTGTGTTTTTACTTCCTTGTAAAATCCAAATGTTAGTATCATTTGAAGGTACACTTAATCCTTGAACTCAGGGGTTGGGGGAACCACCCCCAACGCAGTTGAAAATCTGCATCCCACAATTTATTCACAGCCTGATGCTGACCAGAATGTTTACCAATAACATAAACGGTCGATTAACACATATTTTGCATGTTGCAAGTATTATATATTGAATTCTTACAATAAAGTAAGCTAGAGGAAGAAAATGCAATGAAGGAAATCACAAGGAAGAGAAAATGAATTGACTTTCCATTAACTGGAAGTGGATGGTCATAAAGGTCTTCATCCTCATTACCTTCGCGTCGAGCAGGCTGAGGAGGAGGAAGGGAGGGTTGGTCCTGCTGTCTCAGGCGTGGCAGAGGCGAAAGAAAAGCCACTTAAGTGGATTCACACAGTTCAAACCTATGTTGTTCAAGGGTCAACTTACACACAGATAAATTTAGACTCAGTAACATGATGTCAAAGATTCACATCAAAATTACCAGGGGCTGGTGGGGCCGGGGTAGAGGCAGAGCAGAGCTGAAGCCAGACTGGCCATTCCGACAACTATTCCGGTTGGTAATTGTTGAAACTGACTGCCTGGGTACATGGGAAAAGGGAATCACTAGACTATTCCCTCTGTTTCACAGAATTTTCCTTTTTTAAAAAGCAATTAAAACATCCTGGCTTGGCAAATAATGTATTTGATGATGCTCACGATGGCAAATTTGGGAACCTGGAAAGGGGACATGCCTTGATTTCCTCTGACTCTGGAATGAGCCAGCCCCTTTCAGCTGTGCCTGGGAATAGTCAATGAGTAAGTGCCAGGAAGACAAGGCAAAAAGCACGGGGAAGCTATGGGAAGTGGAGCGTCGGCATCTGTGCATGTAGAGGGAAGGAACTCAACTCTACACCCCCAGCGGGCCCCAAAGCCCAGGGATGTGGGTCTACCTGCATGTCCCCTCCTGGACGGCCAGCCCTGCCAAGCATGACACAACCCTCTGCCTCTGATGTTGCTCCTGGGGTTCCCCTGCTTAATGGCACAGCCTGAAACCTTGTGCTCCGTCTACAGCGTCCCCGCCCCCGAGTGGAAGCAGCAACAGGGCTCATCACAAAGTCACTCATTTCTGGAGGCCAGAGGCTCATTCAATGCCACACACAGTCACAGAGAACACACACACTGTGGGAGGCAGGGCACCACTCTCCCTCACAGATACGTTTTGGAAAGGTTTATTTTTGAAGAGGTTCTGTCAGTTACAGATGACCAACGTATAAAGCTTTTCCTTGAAGATCTATTTCCAGAAACACAGTAGGAAGTTAGAGGAAAATGAGGCCACATTAAAGCAGAGGCCTGAGCCGTGTGGCGCTGCCCAGGTTATTCTGCATGCTCCTGCAACACCAGCCTCTGCTGCCGGCCCGCACCTCGCCTTGTCCCCGCTCCTCGCCTTGTCCCAGCGCCTTACAGTGGGCTCTGGAGTGAGCGATATTCTGCTCACCCCTGCTGCAGGCGAAGCAACTAACCATACAAATTAAGCCTTATGGTGTAAATAATATGGTGTCTGCCTAAGTGACAACGTGTCACACAGGCCACGCTAACAAACTGCCAGGCCCCGATCACGGCAGTCAAAGAGACCGGCCACCTCCCCACAGGGAGGGCTGCTGACGCCTCGACACTGGTGACTGACGCGGGATGCCCTCCCGTCACTTAGCGTGCGCAGCTCAAGGGTGACCCGGACTGCCCATCACCAGCAAACGTCTGGCTCCAGATCTCAGAGCAACCGCAGGAATACAAAGAGCCGGCAGTGAACACGCCCAGCCACAGCACACAGCCTCACTCCAGGTTCAGACTCAAGGCTCCATTCTCACCCGCTTTCACCTGGGGAAAGGTAAGAAAAACTGAAGAGCACTGCGGCACTTCACAAGGGAATCCAGGGAGAACTGGCACGGCAGCCCGCACGCCATCTCTCACTAAGCACATGGCACATCATACACAGTGAAT